ACCCAACAATCAGTCTCAAACTTCACCCCCTATGGCAAAATTATTGCTCAACACAAATTTAACACACATTACATGTTTGTACGAGTTCTTCATGTGACCAGTGTAAGGGGAGGTTTATTTCTCTATAAAACAAACATAAATATTGAGTTATGGCAAATAGTTTGTTGCTAGTAGTGACTGAAACACTTTTGAAAAGATGTGGTCAAATGTGAGCCATATACAGCCAGAGCTGCTCAAAGTGTTTGCTGCTTTCAAGAGCTGGAATGTTAACAGGCCTGCTCTGCTGTTTTATCGAGTGCCCAGCATTGGATTAATAATTATAATTGATGATAATTAGTATTAGTAGTGATATGGTAACTGAACCAAAGTGCTCGTAACAGTTGGGGCTCAACACTTTATGTAAAAATGATACAAATGAAGCTTGGAAAAGTATTGATGACACATTTAGCCAGCTAGTTGCTAATATCATCACACGTTTTTTGAAAGACCATCAAGTTACATTTCCATAGCTAAAAGTCAAAAGGGATATTTGTCACAACTGCATAAATATCCATGTGATAAACTGTACAAACATTTTTACTTTTCTAAGCTAACGCTGCCAATAAATGATAAGTAGCGTTAGCTTAGAAAGCTAAACCTGCCAATAACAATAATAAGCTTCTGAATAAGGTTATTCTGAATATGGACTGAGGTGATTTGGCAAACGCATTTGCATGTTATAAAAAATTTCATGAAACGTAAATAAATAGAGACTAGAATGTTCTACTGGTTGATGCCTTCTGGCAACTCTAAAGCTAGCTTAGCTGCTAATATTCAAGTTTTAGACCAGAAACAGTTTAACTTAATTATTATATTATTTATAATATTATAAAAAATATTTTCTTTTAACTATGAAAAACTAAAGAACTACAAAGAAATAAGAGTTAAAGTTAAATATTATTTCAGTGTTTTAACCTTAAAATAGATATTGAAATCTTTGTTTTGAGTAATTATTTTGGTTACAAGCAGTGACTGAGCCATTTACAACACTGCTCTCAATGAAAATTAGTCAGTCAAAAGTGGCTAAAGCAAAAACAAAAAGTAGCTTTTGCGATTTTCTTTTGTGCTTTAGACACTTTAGTTCATACATGTGAGTAGGGCTGCACGATTTTGCATAAAATGAGAATCACGATTTTTTTGGCTTAGAATTGAGATCACGATTCTCTCACGATTTTCTTTTCCAATATAAATATTTATTGCACTTATTAACTGCACATCAACTTCGTAACAGTTGAGACTGAACATAAAAACAATAAATAAACATAAAAACAACAAATGTCTCACGTTTTGTTGTTGCCGCAAAATGTTGTACTGCTTGAAATTCCGTCTCCACCGTTGCTGGACACTGCGTGTATAGAGCAGGTAGTGCAACAATAAAAAAATAGTTGCGGGACGGCACTGTGTAGCGTTTGTCTAGGGTGTTGATCATTTTCCTAAATCCCTCGTTTTGCACAGTGTTGATGGGAGCCATATCTTTAGTCAGGTGATAAGTGATATCCTCCGTAATTTCTTTGTGCCTGCGGAAGTTCGACGGGTATAGGGAAGCGCTGTATAAGGTTCCCGTTATTGATGTTTGGGTGGTTGACCGGGACGGATTTTCTCCTGTCACTTTCTCGTCATCCCTGACGTGCTCTCCGTTGTTTTTTCCCTGCTAATTTTAGCATCACACGGCACAGCTTCTGTATCACGTGGTATAAGGCTCCGCCCTTGTCATTTGTTGAGCAGGAAGAGTGAGCGCTTGTTTTCATGCAGATTACGTCCCGGATCAAAGTGCGGTACAATCGTCGACTTTTTTTCTTTTTTTTCTTCTTTTTTTTAAATCGTTGTCATTTGGAAATGAGATCGCACATAAGTATGAATCGAGATCGCGATTTTCTAACAATTAATCGTGCAGCCCTACATGTGAGCCAATCATTCCTGGCTTGGTATTCACTAGGGTTGCCAACTCCCTGAAAAATAAATAAGGGACACCTCGTGGCCAGGGCCGGGCAAAGTGTGGTAGCTCTTTTTTTTGTGTGTGAAATTATTTTTTAACCATTTGACTTGAATTTGATTTAAGCAGATGCATATTCTTTGTGATATGACCATATGGGAAACAAATGATCATTTAGCCATTTATTTTTAGCTCAAAATGACAACATTAACACAATAAAACAGGTCTCTTTCTTAAACAGAAGCCTGTCATGCTTAACTTTTGAGAATATAAGTAAATCTTTCTTTAAAAGAACTCTGTCCTGCTTAACTTAAAATTATATAAATTAATAGAAAACAATAGAACAAAATCATTCTTGTAACAGTGCACATATAGTGCATTTAGTACAATTGGCTTCAGTTGAGCTATTATTTCAGCTTTTCTAATGCTAATCAGCTGCTCCTGTTTGTAAACCCACTTGTTCCCATGATTACGCATCATAACTCATCATCATTATTCATCTATGTATTACTTTTATGTATTAGTCATCTATTTGTTGTAATCATCTATCCTTGCAGTTGTTTATTACACAAAATAAATTATATTATCACACTTCTGGCCACATAGCGCTGATATTCACTGCACATGCCCATATTAACCTTAACCAGAGGGTTTAAAAAAAAACAAACCAATGTTTACATACCATATCTGCTTCTGCCGTGGCCTGGTGGACAAGAAATTGGTTAAGGGTTCCCCGAGCTTTCACGCCCCTCATGTTCTTCATGTGCCCACCATTAGAAGCATGCCTATGGAAAAAGTGCGCCGGCACACAGTGCAGTGCGCTTTAAAGGTGTTATCGTGCACTTTTCCACCCAGGTGTTTTCCTTTTCCCATTCCTCCCTGTACTTTTACAGCCTATTTTTCTTTCTCTGAGGGGAACAAACATTGCTGCTCTAATGCTGGGCTTACACTGTGCGATTTTTGGCCCATTTTGAGCCGATTTTTGAGTCATGCGACCGATTTGGTGATCGGCCCAATTTTGCCCTTCATCATGCATCGTGTAGTATACGTGGGGTAACAAGAAGCGATTAACACCTCGAGCAGCTCCCGATCATCAATCGCTCGTGAGGGTGTCACCGCAGCTGCTCACACTGCTCACGCGCAAACACGTAACCGCCGGTGAAAAAGACGGTGCAGCACGGCTGTGCAGCGTGTGATCTGGACACAGGCGATGGAGGCACAACTTGTAGAACTTTAGAAAGCTCATCCGAGCCTTTTCGATGTGGCATCACAAAATTATCACGACCACAACAACCGTGAAAATAGTTGGATTTACTCTGCTGCTCAATCACAGCTGCCTGATCATGTTTTTCATTAGCAATTTAGCAAAGTTGATGGTGGTGGTGTGTCTGTGTGAGTGAAAGAGAGAGGGAGAGCGAGCGACAGATTTTCTGTTATAACCTTCATTTTATGGAGGCACAGTGTGAGCACTCAGGTCGTATCAGAGCATCGGGCGGTATAGTGTGAGACCCTGCATCGTGACCTACAAACTTATAACCCCTGCGAGTCAATCGTGCAGTTTGAAAATCGCCCAGTGTATGTCCAGCTTTAGGTGTACTGACCGGCGTTTGTTTCCCTGTTGGCCATGCTTCTTGTTGTGGTCATCTGTTGTCTTCCTGTATTTTCTCCGTAAGCGACCTTTCCTCGACCAATGAGATAAGCGGTAATCTGAATTGTCATACTCGAATTTTCATAAGTGTGCTGTCAGCTCATTGGTCACAAAGCAGGAGAGGGGCTGGGAATTATGTTTTCCAACAAAGCGTTAATTCCATTAAAAGTTATAGACTACTTTTGATTCTCACTGTATTACGGGACAAAGTGCGTCCCTTATTAGCTCAATACGGGACGTGTACTTTTGTTTCGAAATACGGGACGATTCCGTTTTTTAAGGGACGGTTGGCAACCCTAGTATTCACCAAGCCTCACCCAGAAAACGTCCCAAAATTCAGGAGAGGAAAGTAAATATGCTGCACATATTTTCCGCTCTGTCTCTTGGGTATTTTAGCTGCTTCTAGGCAAAAATACAAACTTCAGCAGGTGGCTAAAGAGACCTTAAATCACTGCAATTCAGCGGCCGATGGCTTTGGATGTTTAGGAAGAGCACATATTGTATGTGAAGTCTTAAACAAACAAACAAAAAAATAAATGTAAACAATTTCCTTCACCCTGGCAGGGTGCATCTTTACATAGTAAACAAGAGCCAACAGGATGTGTCACAAACTCAAGTTGTTTCACTGACAGTAGGGACAAAAAGAGGAAGAAGATGAAAAAAGGGACTATGTTGATTTTGTTGTGTTAGAAATTTGATTTCTTTTCTTTAAGCAGAGTGCCTTACAGTGCAAACTCCACCAGAGAGATTTAGTCTGCTTTTTAAAAAAAAAACAAAAAAAAAAAAACAGACATAGTCTGCATATGTGCACGCACAACTGCAATTGCCTCTGGTTGCAAAAATAATCCCATACATTCTAATTTGCAAAAGCACTGACTCCTAAAATCAAATCATAACCAACCTACATGGGTCTACTCCTGTGGATCAAACTCAACTGCCCTCATCTGCTGAGCTGCAGTATTACAGAGGCCTTATTTGTAATACCTGATCCTTTCACACGAAACATCACCGTGAATGTGACCCAAAGACAAAACTTTTCTAAACTATAAGAATCAACAAAAAAATTTGGAATGATTGGAACAGTACTTTTAAGAAAGGCTGTCCTTCATAAATCATTGCTAACTTTTTAAAAACCAGCCAGACGTGGCTAAAAATATGATGGATATTCTGTAAATTGACTGATGCCAGCTTTGACTCTCATAAGTGGACGTGTATGGGTTGGGAAGGCCTCTATTCAATCTTTAGATTGCTCCAGAGCTGATTATGCACACTACAAACTGTCATTCATTTTCTGAAAAACATATACATCTCCTCGTCTGTCTGATGGGAGTATTTCCAATATGTAATATGCATGTAAATTTTAATTCAAAGACCTCTTACCAAAGACTTCATCTTGTTGTTCAGGTTCTGCTACTGCCGTTTCTTTGGGTTCAAGTGACGGAGCCTTTAATGAGAACACAAAAACAGATTGAAGAGGTGAGATGCTGAGGTGCCATGGCAACAAAGCAAAGGCAGAGACAAACAGGCCAACTGTGTGAGAGAGGGGTGATGAGAAAGAGAGACAATGCGAGGGGGAGGTAATTATACCCATTTAGTATTTTGGGGCTTTATGAGAACAGAATTAAGCTGAGACCCTTTCATTCAACTTTCATAAAGAAGTGGGTACATCCTGTGCACACTGGAAGCTGTTGCAACACTGAATGTGTGACCGGTGCTTTTTGTCAGGATTTTATCTATTTATCATCTGTCTTATTTTGATTGATTAATTGATTTATTGCATGTATGCACTTGTGAATCTTTGGCAGAAACTTGTCTGGAATGCATATGCAAAATGACATTATTATGGTTTCAATTATTTTCATGTTATTTGCTAATATTCATTAAGAGAAGTTAAACCAAAACGCAGAAGCAGCGAGTGAAAAACTGAGTACATGCTTACTGCTTCCAAAGGAATTAAGAGTATAAGTAGCAGCCAGGTGCTACTAATCAAATGCATTGATTGATCAGCAGCAAGTGTGAGCAGCTGTGTAAAAGCAGATGTTTTGGCAGTTTGCAATGTGCGTTAACACAATCCTAGGGAGGAAAGAAATCAGCGATGATCTTAGAGAAGCAGTTGTTGCTCCCCATCAGTCTGAGGATGGTTATAAGGCTATTTCCAAATAATTTTAAGTCTGCCATTCTTCAATGAGAAAGATTATTCAAATATCAGGGGCAAATATTCCAGACTTGCGCTAATTTCCCCATGAGCTAAAGAATTGCTGAAAGATTAAAATAAAGAAATTGTAGTGAGTCAGTTAAAGTCCAGATCTCAACCTACTTGAAGGCTGCGGGGGACATTTAGAGAGCTGTGCATGAGCAAATGTCCACAAAACTCAATGAACTGAAGAAACATTCTACAGAAAACTGGGCCAAAAACACCTAAAAGACAATATGAGAAACGAATAACGTCACGCAGAAAGTGAGAATTTCAGGTTACTCAAAGTCAAGGTGATTCACAAGCTATTGATTGAAATATGAAGTGTACTTAGTTTTTTTTTCTTAGTTTTTTCCACTAATTGTACATTTGGGCTTAACTCTTATTAAATAAATAATAGCACAGTGTAATATAGCATGTGTTATTATTAATCTTAGTTTGTATTTACCCAATTTTAGGTCATGGAAAGGTCATTTTTGATCATGCTCTGATATGCAAATCCTGTGTTCAATATCATCTTCAATCCTTTAGGAGATCTGGCTACTGCAGAGATGTCAAAATTACTGTAGTTCATAGGCCACATACAGTCAACTTTGTCGAATTAAGTCAGCAAATTCAAACCGGATGATCGCTGTTAGCACAGTCGCTCGCTAGCTGCTGATGTCACCTGGGAAATGGCCGAAAAACTCTCCATCAGAGACCGATTTGATACGGATGGCCGCACACAATCTGTCATTCAATTAAAATGTTTTGCATCATAATTACATCTGTTCAGAACCCAGTTAGCCTGTGAAATAAACAATCTGTAACCACCGTGATCATTTTGGCTCTGCAGTGGGTGGGACATGTTAACTGTTAACTCACAGAGCATCAACAAACAGCTGTGCACACATGTTTGTTGTGTGACTTTTATTTCGTAAGCTGACCATTTTGACAGCATTGAAACAGCAGGAAGTGATACGGGAAACGTACGAAGTAAAATGGCATTAGTTGTTACATAATGACAGAAATACTGATTCATCTGCAACAACCCACCCACTTTTAACACACAAAGTCTAAGCTTACACTAGCATGCAAGATGAATTATTATTACTGTCTGTATTCACACTTCTGGCTCATCCAAAGAATTTGTTATGTCACTATGACTGGCATGTTTACAGCCTTTGACCATCATGTACAGTGAAGTGCCTTCTGATTTTATAAATCCTCTTAACATCCCCCCTCAGAAGAGGCATGAACAGTGCTGTTGCTGGTCACATGCTCTATAATGTTGTACTGTGGACATTTATGTGTTTTTCTGTGCAGAGGAGTTTTTTTTGTTTCCTGTTCTCATGCTGTCCTCCTGTAGCCCAGCATGAGTAGAGGTCTCTTTTTTTTCCTCTTGTACCTTTCCCACTGTAGTGTACATTTCAGTGTTTTTTTTCCTGTAATGCAACCGTTCTCCGACTTGTATCCCCATGTAATGTCTGTGTTGTATGTGTAAGGTCAGGGGGCGGGTTCATTCCACTGCAGGGCAACCTGCCACTGCATGTGGCGAATAAACTTTGAACTTGAACTTGCCTGCTTCTTAGTGGGCTTGCCTACATGGGGAATCAGAGACATTCAAAAACTGTGGGCACACTGATCACCATTAAATCAGAACAGAGGAAAGTGCAACTGTGACGCAGTCGCAACAGCTGAGGGACAGTAGAGTGTGGTGAGCAAGCACTTACTAATGCAAATCACTTAAAAGTCAACAAGTGCTCCTTTTTTTGGCCTTTTATTATGCAAACAAATGAGTCTTGATAAGAGGAGATTAAATTACTACTGGACAAGATTTAATTACGTTTTTTCCCCCCTTTCATCAAGAGCAGAAATTCTTAAAAAAAAAAAAAAAAAAAAAAGAAAAATGACTACTAGAGAAAAAAAAAAGTCATGCCAGTGACTGTGGGTAACGAGATATTTGTCATGCAGCCAACTCCTACTAAGGCTACGTTCACACTGCAAGTCTTAATGCTCAATTCCGATTTTTTGTTCACACTACAAATAAAATGCGACAGCAAACGCGCTCTAGTGTGAACGCTCAAAGCGGCCCGCATGTGCAAAAGAAGACGTCACACACAACGCGCTCCGTTTAGACCCAGAGCAAACAATATTGTTTGACTGATGGCTGTTAATATAAAGACTTCAGACTTTACGTTTCCCAATTTTTGCTTTAAGTTATTTTGTTATTTACATAATAATGTAGATAACCTAATAATGATCCTTATTGCTGTTTTAGAGGAGCACTGCTTCAAAGGATAGTTGCAGATTTCTGTCAAAATCTGCAGATTATACAGTACAAATAAAATGTTCACGTTGTCTTCCCAACAGTTTCACTAACATCTACACTGGATGGCCGGAAGCGTTCGCGATGTCTTCTCTGGCGCTTCTGCGGCGCTGATAATTGGTGTCTGTCTTGTGTCAGTGACGCAAAAGACGGATTTAATGCGACATGACTGTTCAAACAGCAGTCGCTTTCTAAAACATCGGATATGTATCGGATTCAGTAGCACATACGAAAGTGACTCAGATCGGATTTGAAAATATCGGATTTGTGCCGTTCACACTGTCATACCATGATCGGATATGGGTCACATAGGGTCAAAAAAAAAAAATAAATCTGATTTGATGCGCTTTCGCCTGCAGTGTGAACGTAGCTTAACAGTGAGCAAAGTAGGATGATTGAAGAGCTGCTCCCAGGATATGAGATGGTTAATCACATGTTTGATCGAAATAGGAATAGCCAAGCAGGGACTCTGCCTCCTCTCTTGCTTCGCGTGCAGCCTCTGTGTTAGTGGGTGCTTGATTACAGGATTGGAGACAGGTGCCCTGTAGCCTGAACAGTGCCTGACCAGCTGCAGCCACTTGAACAATCAGGTCTTCTGAAATGCTCTGCCCTGCCACTCCTTTGCAACTAGAACACAGTCTCTGCCTTTGCAGTGCTCATCTGTAAACTGGCCACTTTTACTGTTCTGTTAGTATTCTGCTTATTGAAATTCATGCTTTCTTATCTATGCAGTTTCTTTGGCTGATTCAGCCCTTGCCTCCCAAACTCCCGTCTTGTCAGTTCTCTCTGTTCAGCTCCCCTTTGTCTTGGCTTATTTCTACTCCCATTTTCTTGGCCCAAACCTTAGTGACATCTTAATGCCACAGCTTTAGCTTCTGGTTGCCAACGTGTAGCCTAGCTTCCAGGTCCCTGGCTACCAGCCCAGACTAACCCAAACTTCAGGTTTCTGGTTACAACTCTAACATCAAGGTTACTGTTGCCACCTCAGCTCCTCAAGTCCTTTTGCCAGTTTGCTTGTTTACTGAATAATGAGTCTACAACTCTGCACTTCGCTGGTGAACAAATGATTTGTAAATCAGTGATTCAAAAAAAGGAACACCACATGTATTTTTGTGCACTGATAAAGCTTAAATTTCTATTGAGGATTTGCAGATATGTGACCTCTAACCGTGTGACTTGAACTTATCTGCCATTTTGGACATGTGACAATGTAAGATCAAGTGAATAACATAATCACACAGGCCTAGAGATTGGGCAGTGACTTCCCTGGCAACCGCCTGTCCCTAGGGAAAAAGGTGTTCCCCAAAAACCTCCTTGTGATTACTTTAGTCACTAGTATATTGCTATCTTAGCCTGAGGTGAAGTTATAGACTTCATGGGTTATGGACTCAGCTACTCTAATAAATAAATTATAACAAACTGAAAAGCATGCCAAAAATGGAACTGGAGATATCCATCAAATGCCTTCAAAGTTGCACCTTGTGAAAGATTTTGGCTCTAGCGCTGAAACAACTTTTACTCTGCAGGGTGAACCTTCTCCATTTCCAGTTTGCATGGCTGTTTTTTAAGTTTTACTACTTCTTGGCTGGTAGTTTGTATTTGCAGGATAACATTTGAAAACAAACTACAGGTAATCATTTGCCACCAACCAAAGCAATCACTAGGAAGTTTCTGGGGCTAGCACCATCTCTGATCCAATTTCATCCAATGAGATACAGCAAACTCCAGAAACGAGTGTTTAGCAGTCAGGAAATACATCATTTTTATCCATCAGCTGGTGGTTGTACGGCACACTTGATATGGCAATCACAACTAAAAATCCTTAGCATTCAACCTTTGCTAGATTTTCTTTCACACCCCGACTTAGCTGTCTTGCCTTAGTTCTTAGCCTTTCCTTTTTCATATAGTGTAAAGAATTAGCAATGCAAACAGATTGGAATAC